GTATATATGGGTCCTTGTAGGACGCGTATATTTGGGCATTTATTTCGCATATCCCCGCGCTTGAATTTACGCAAATATGTGGCCCTTTAAAAATACGTATATACGCGATCTAAATGGTCGTATATATGAGCTTAAAGCCCATACGTAATGTATGTAAACAGGTATAGGCGGCAGAAAAACCCGCGTATACCCTGTCGTAATTTTGAAACGAATGGCCAACCATAAATTTTGAAAAGAATGGCCAACCATAGATTTGTAAGCTTCTTGTTCCAAGGATATTTGACCGCTCCGGATCTTCAGCAGATGCCAAGATTGTCGAAGGCGTTTGGCCAAACCAAGAGCCTTTAGCGCTTTCGGCAAGGTTTTTTTTTTTCTTTCCTTGACAATATGGAGCTTTTTTTCTTCTTTGGGCCGGTTTTTTTTCGTTTTCTTTGCCCAAGGACTTTTTTCTGCTTTTGATTTTTCCAGAGGAGTTAGCGTGAAGAGCTTTCACGTGGGAATTTTTGTCAAGTGCGTGATGTAAATAAAAATATGCAAATGACATGAAATACGAGCGATGAGCGTTTGCCGCGAAAATTTCCGCAGGGTTCTCGCCCGTTGACAAGATTATGACACCTTCCTAGATTATTAACTTTATTTGAAAATACGTTTTTTCTAAATAAAACCGGCCGCTATTTGAGATTTTTAATGCATTTCCTTTGGAAACACTAAATAAAATGACGAACTTAAATTTTGTCAAATAAAAGAAAAAACGATTTTCTTGGCCTCTGAAGGTGGGTAATAACCTTAAGGCGGGACTTAAGCTAAAATTCTGAAAGAAATTCGAAGTTTTGTTTTTTACGGAACTCGAAGCTCAAGGTATTGAGGTTTTATTTTGACAATTACTGTTACTGTAAGTTTAAAGCTCGTTTTCTCAAAACGAGTTATTTTCGCCTTCTAGAAAAGATATCTTGAGAAGGATTTCTTCAATTGAGCTAAAATTTTCAGGATTTTTTGTTTTTAGTACGTTCTGTGGGATAAGCATAGAAATTTTCAATCCAGTGCATTCTGTCAAAGTTATGTATTGAAACGTATGCTAGATTTTCTGTATCAGATTTAACTGGTCATCATTTCACGTGCTTTTAACNTTTGATTTTTCCATAGGAGTTAGCGTAGAGTTTCCACGTGGGAATTTTTGTCAAGTGCGTGATGTAAATAAAAATATGCAAATGACATGAAATTCGAGCGATGAGCGTTTGCCGCGAAAATTTCCCCAGGGTTCTCGCCCGTTGACAAGATTGTGACACCTTCCTAGTTTATTAACTTTATTTGAAAATACGTTTTTTCTAAATAACTCGGCCGCTTTTTGAGAGTTTTAATGTTTTTCTTTTGGAAACACTAGATAAAATGACGAACTTAAATTTTGTCAAATAAAAGAAAAAACGATTTTTTGGGCCTCTGAAGGTGGGAAGTAACCTTAACTTGTCGTGCTGAGATCTTTCATCTGAAACAGTATCAGCAATAAGATTAAACTGTATTTTCTTTTAACTTTAGGACCAGCTTCATACTACTGGTGGCGGGGCAAATGTCGCCATCGTCTGTGCAAGTGTGATGCCGACGCCGCCCAATGTTTCGCGGAGAGTCCTTACCATCGCAAATATAAAAATTACCCGCGAAAGAAATGCAGGGGAGGTCGGAGAGGTCGGTAAATCTGCACGAAGGCAGAAAGGAAATCGAGAAAAAAAATAAGAAAAGAACGCAACAGAGGACCTAGAAAATCAATTAGTGAACTGCAGCCTTTGTGGTTGTTGCTTTGCACACGAATTCCACATTTTTATGTGAGCCAAGTTTAATTAAAGATCAACGTTGTGCAAATGTGATTACGTTTAGTTGATTTTTCCATGAAAAAGTTTCCTCTCCTTTATATCTTGTCTCACTGATGCAAAAGCAACATGAAATGTTACGCCTATCATTTTGGATTTATGGATGGCTACCAGTGCTGAGAATGATGCTGAAAGTGATGGTGATGGTGATGATGACAGGGTCACTGATGATTATGATGGTGATAAAGATTATGAAGAAGTGGGCCCCTTTTATCACCAACGTAAAACCCTAAACAGATATAACAGAGGCTTTTGACTAATAATTAAGAATAAAAATTAACGATAATAATTTCTATTGACGTTTCGATGACTCGTTCATCATTTTCAAATTCTAAAAGTCAGGTTTCTACGAGTTCGTTATATACTAAGAATGCGTGTGGAGGTCTTGTTGGATGTGATTAAAAGCTCTAAAATGTGGAATGTACAGAGTGTTAATTAAGTACTAAAATTAATAGTTTTGCTTTAATTGACTCAGATTGAGTGTTCAGTTTAGGTTTCTTTTCTTGGATGAAGAGCATTTCGCAGATTAAGCATTCAAATTTCCTGCGACATTTCTTCAGGATGGTAAATTGTTCGTTAAGATCTTTCAGAGAAACGCATTCTTACTATATAAAGAACTCAGAGGAACCTGACTTTTAAAATTTGAAGGTGATGAACAAGTCATCGAAACATCATTCGAGAGAGATAATGATAATAATAAATATATGAAGTAACTTGAGGGGTCTTCAGCACTACTGATTTTGAAAGAGATATACATTACTTTTTATTCCTGTCCTACTAAATTTCTCAGGTGCCCTGAGTGTGGATATGTAACTAACGATCCAGCATAAGAAGTATGTTATCAGTCAAGTTAACATGCCACAGTGCCCTAACATGTCACTGGGATTCATGGTCAATGGTGAGAAGCAGACCTTCAAGCAACCTGTAGTTGGCAACATCTCTTCTGTTTAAAGGCAATATGTTGCGTCGCCTCGCGTTTTAAACTTCAGTTTTTGGTGAAAGTGTGTTTTTAACCCACGGCAACAGTATTTGTATTGCACTGTATTGCACAATTGTATGCATCTTCATATAATGTTGTCAAAAATCACTGCAGTCTAGTGTTGCCCTATAAATTTTGTGTCACTCGGCAGCTCTACTAGTACATTCTGACTCAGAAGACAATGATTAAGCAATGACCAGTAGTCTAAGTGAGCTCCATCGTGGTGATAGGGATAGCAGATGCTATTGTATTTTATAGAAGGACAATATCAGTGACACCTGCCTCAAGACTTGGATGGCTGAAAGCTCAGTTGAAAGAGATAAAGGACTTTCTAACTTTGGTATTCACCAGTGCCTTGATATTAAAGGAAATGAGGGACCATTCATTTTTTATGAGGTGGGGTGGGGGAGGGGCGGGCTGGTGGGATTAGGGGGGAGGTCACACAACTTCAAAGGGAGAGCCATCCCAAAAAAATGGGGCGAGAGTTGGGGGGGGGGGCACATAAAATATTTTAGAGGATATAAAGATGGTATGTCAGATGGTTTGCTATTTAAATAAAACCATGTATACAGAAACAAAAAGAAGGTATATAAATGTATGAGAAACTTGTCTCCTGCCTTTGATGTTTCTACGACAACAATTTTCATAGCTAGGGTACTAAGACACTTTACATGTATTAGGTTAGTCAAGTACAACGTCACATCTGCATAATCACGAAACGAGTATTCGAGTGAGAACGGAATTGAGAAACCTCTCTACGAATCCCTGAGAAACGTATAACAAAAAGTTGTCACACTTCAAACAGCAGCTGAAGAGATTTGCGAAGAATCGAAACCGAGTAGTCCTGCTGAAGCAACTATGTCAGACAACGACCTATTGCAATATCTTTAGCCTCGTACATCTGGTGACGGGAATTTGATTTCACCTGTCCTCCTACGGACACTGAAGAATAAATGTTGGAGGAAAACCTAAATGATGCTTACCAGGATGGACCTCCACCATCGCAACCCCGACCACCGACTCGTAACACCAACGAGAACATCCGGCAAGAAAAGAAAAGAAATTTTAATGTTTAACTGGGTTGCAATACAACAACAGCCGTTGCAGAAAAGCATCGATACAAAAACTCTGATTACATCACACAAGAGAGGTAAATCTCTTAAAGATACGCTCGTTAGAGCGAAAAGCTAATTGAAGGCTAAAATGCATCGCAGTCACAGTTCACGAGGGGAGTCCGTGCAGGCCTGTCATTATCTTTTGTTTTCAGCACCTTGATGGAGAAAAAGAGAGCTGAGGAGCGGGAAAAGGAAAGCCGGAAAACAAAGGAAAAGTATACGATGATTATGCTTGGAAAGATCTGTGTGAAGACTCAAAAATTAAAACAACTCTGAGTGCCAGAGCTTAACAAGTACCTCAAGCACCATGGATTAGACCAACATATCAAAAACACTGTTAAGAAAGACAAGTCGCTTCTTCAAATGAATCCTGATGGCCCTGATGCATTAATGGCTTAAATGATACAAACGTAATTGAGAGAAAGAGATGGAAGTGATAAAGAATCTTCGCAAGACATTGACAACGACGACAGCGATGAAGATGAGTACAGCAGAAGTGAAAGCGATAGTAATGATGAGAACCACAATGATTCCATCAACCCTGGCGGTGAAGGGGACTCAAATGATAACATTCTTGCTTTTATCGATGATGAGGAAGAAGTTCAGAGGCCAGTTACGACACGCAAAGGAAGATCAATAACCAGAAAGTTGGAAATTGACTTTTATTTCGATTCCTTATATTTTATGTTTGAAAAACAGTGACGATACTTCTAGCAAACTGACAGAAATTATTTTTTTTTATTATAATAAACAGTTTAAAAGCTGCAGAATGAGTTATCATCAGCTTTATATTGTACATGATGAGATTCATGGGACTCTGAAATACCCAGCAGGACATGGGTTCTATTTTCCGGTGACGTCATGGTGCTTGTGCTAATCAGATTACAAATCTGTCATTATTGCACAATTTGTGGGTGTTTGTGGTGTATGAGCCGTTTAACATTTAACAAAATATTTTAATGCGCTAAAGCAGATCACCAACCATATATGGCCTGGTTAAAAAAGTTTAAACAGGTAATGTTACAACCAGAGGCTTCGCTGTATATGCATCGCGCGAAATTCGATCAAAGAACAGGTGGCGCGAACTGGAGCATGGCGGCAAATCCATGTTCTGTTCGTCTCTATTGATCAAATTCGCGGACCGTCGATCGATCCCAGCCAAATTTGATTCACCGTGTCGAGCGAATGGTTTCATAAACCACGAGAGTTCATCGAAAGTGATTCCTTTTTGTTTTTCAAGAACTGTTGTTCAAGAATCCATCATGGTCATCATCGTGGTTTCAATCTTCGAGAAAGAAAGTTACAGTTATTGTTGCTACTCTGTTTGGAAAAGTTTAAAGAGCTTAAAAAAAAAAGTTCCTGGATGCCGATAAAATATAGAATTTCAAGCGATCGAAGCTCGAGATATTTTTCGGCGGAGACAAGCGACAGCCGATAACACTTCGCGTTCGCAGACTAAGTGATACGTGGCCTTTTGTTAGACGCTCTTGAACAAAATTACCAAACAGAACAAAATGGGTCACAACTGGCAAAATGGGTCACACTTGGAACAATTAATTACACTTGGAAAAAAGGGTCACACCTGGAAAAATTGATCAAAATTCGAGAAGTGGGTCACACTTGGAAAAATGGGTCACACTTGGAAAACCTGGTCACACTTGGAAAAATGGGTCACAGTTGAAAGGGTGGGTCACGCTTGGAAAAATAGGTCCAATTTGGAAAAATGGGTCACATTTGGAAAAATGGGTCTAACTTGGAAAAATGACTTGGAACACTTAGAAAAGTGGATTCCATTTGGAAAAATAAGTCACATTTGGAAAAATAGGTAAAACTTGGAAAAACGTGTCACACTAATAGGAGTGGGTGACACTTAAAAAAATGGGTCACACTTAGAAAATTGGGTCACACTTAGAAAATTGGGTCACACTTACAACAGTGGGCCACACTTGGAAAAGTGGGTAACACTTAAAAACGTGGGCACACTTGGAACTTTCGGTAACACTTGGGAAAATGGGTCACAATTGGAAAAATGTGTCGCACTTAGAAGAGTGGGTCACACTTAAAAAATGGGTCACATTTGGAAAAATTGGTCACACTTCGACAAATAGGTAACACTTGAATAGCTGGGTCACACCTGGAAAAATCGGTCACATTTGGAAAAATGGGTCAAACTTGGAAAAATGGGTAATATTTGGAAAAACGAGTCACAGTTGGAAAAATAGGTAAAACTTGATAAAATGTGTCGCACTTCGAAAATTGGGTTACACTAAAAAAATGGGTCAGACTTCGAAATATGGTTGGCACTTGAAAAGTGGATCACTCTTAAGAAAATAAATCTACATAGAGAAGAGGTTCACATTTGGAAAATGGGTCACACTTGGAAAAACGGGTCACAATAAAAAAAATGGGTCACATTTGAAAAAATAAGTCACACTTGGAAAAATAGGTGAAACTTGGAAAAATCTGTTATACTTAGGAGAGTGGGTCAGACTTAACAAAATTGGTCACACTTAAAAAAGGGTCACATTTGGAAAAATGGGTTACACTTCGACAAATAGGTAACATTTGGAAAAATGGGTCTCACTTTGAAAAATAGGTAAAACTTGGGAAAATGTGTCACACTTAGAAGAATGGGTCACACTTAAAAAAAAATGGGTCAAACTTAGTAAAATGGGTCACATTAGACAAAATGGGTGACACTTGGACAAAAAGGTAACAATTGGAAAAATGGTTGGTACTCTTGGGTCACACTAGAAAAAATGGATCATACTTAAGTGTAAATGTTCTGGTCTAATAACTTTTTATGTAGTAGCTTGGTAGTTTTTGTGGGGATAATAATCAAGATATAAAATTGTAACGTAAAACTTCATTGATCATCATCGACGGTAGAATCCCATCTCTTCAACGCGTGAAAAACAGAATGATGTCAAACATCGGCAGTGTTAGTCTAATATGGCCCCCATCTTGAGACGGGGTCCAACATTTCAGGTCTAATAGCGTTTTTCCTAGTACCTTGTTACTTTTTGTCTTTATATCAAGGCAGTCTACTGTCGCCTGGAACTGCATCTCTTGATATTAGAATCTCATCTTTTTCACGGGTTTAAAAGAGGATGAAGCGCAAACAACGGCCATCAGATAGTCGAAAATAAAAAATTGTAAAAATGGGTCACACTTGGAAAAATGTGTCACACTTAGAAGAATAGGTCAGACTTGAAAAAATGGGTCACACTCAGAAAAAATAGGTCTTATTATAAAAAAAAATGGGTCACACTTGGACAAAACGGTAACACTTAGAAAAATGGTTGGTACTGAGAAAAGAGGGTCACACTAGAAAAAAAATAGATCGTACTTAAAAAGGTGTCCACACTTGTTAAAATGGATGACAATGGTGAAATGGGTGACATGTCAAAAAATAAATCACACTTGGAAAAAAGGTTAAACTTACAAAAGAGGGTCAAACTGAAAAAAACTGGGTCACACTTGGAAAATAGGGGTTCACACTTGCAAAAATGGGTCACACCAGGAAAAATGAGTCACACTTGGAAAAAGGGTCTGTGAAAATTGGTCACACTCGGAAGAATGGGTCACACTTGAAAAAAAGAGGGTTACACTTGGAAAATAGGGTCACTCTTAGATAATGGGTCACAGTTAGAAAAATGAGTCACACTTGGAAAAATGGTTCACATTTAGAAAAATGAGCCACACTTAGAAAAATGGGTCACACTTGGGAAAATTGGTCACATTCGGAAAAATGGGTCACACTTGGAAAAATGTGTCACACTTGGAAAAATAGGTCACTTTCGGAAAAATGGGTCACATTCGGAAAAATGGGTCTGTACTGTCGTGAAATGTAATAATGTCGTGAATTGTAATTACACTTGTCGTGTATTGTAATACCTGTCGT